GAGCAGGAGGTTGCTGAGCAGGAGGTTGCTGAGCAGGAGGTTGCTGAGCAGGAGGTTGCTGAACAGGGGGTTGCGGAGCAGGAGGTTGCTGCGCCGGCGGCTGTTGTGCGGGGGGCGATTGAGGCTGAACCACAGGCGGAGCCGGCACAACGACCGTAGTGGAGCCACCAACACAGGTTTCGCAAACTTGCGTCTTCGTGATAGGTGCAGGTGTGGGGATGACGACCGGCGTCTGCACCTGCGGGGCGACGGGAGTCGCCGGGACGCTCACGACCATCGTGGTGTAGCCTCTAGAACAAGTCATGCAAACCTGAGTTTTCGTGACAACAGCAGGAGTGAGAATGATCGGCGGCGACTGTACTGGTGTTTGCACGATAACTGCAGGCGTGGGGATGATTGGTGGTGGCTGTACCACTGTCTGCATGATGACTGCAGGCGTAGCCGGCGCCTGTGTGTAGACAACAGTCGTGGGGACATTCGTAACCAGTATCGTTGAGCCGCCAGGGCAGGTAATGCAACTCTCCGTTTGGGTGACAACCACCGTCGTGGAGACAATCACCGGCGCTGGCGTCCGTGTCCGCGTCAGCGTGAGGACTGTAGTTGTGGGAACCTTCACGATGACGGTCGTTGAACCACCAGTACAGTTGCTGCAACTCTGTGTCTGCGTAACAACTGCGGTCGTGGGTACGTGGTATAGCGTCTGCATAACAACTGAAGTCGTAGGGACATTCGTGACAACAACCGTTGAGCCACCAACACAAGTATTGCAGATTTGGGTCTGTGTGACGACTGCAGTTGTGGGGATGGCCGACAGCGTCTTCGTGACAACAGCAGTTGTAGGAACGGACTGCGTCTCTTTACTGATGACGGTCGTAGTGTAGCCTCCAGGGCAAGTGATGCATTGTGCCGTAACAGTAACAGGCTGAGTCTGAATCTCTTTGCTGATGACTGTCGTAGTGTAGCCTTCAGCGCAGGTGAGGCACGGCTGTGTTACAGTAACCTTCTCAGTGTAAGGGACGGACTTCGTCTCAGTCTCCTTAAGCTTGACGGTTGTAGTGTAGCCGCCAGGGCATGTCTCGCACACCACAGTCACAGTGACGTAGTCAGTGTACGCAACAGTTTTGATCTCTTTCTCCTTAGTCCTGTACGTCGTTCGCAGCGTGACAGTGTTGTTCCTCTCACGCGTCACGTATTGAGTCGTGCCCGTGACCTGCGTAGAGATCATGCTTACTGTCGTGGTGGACCCGCCAGGGCAGGTGGCGCACGTAATCGTCTGCGTGACTTGGAGGGTTGTCGGCATAAGCACTGTCGTGGGCTTGGTCACGTAGATTGGCGTGGTGAGCACCTTCGATTGCGTCTTTGTCCTGTACACAGGCGTCTGGATGTACCTAGTCGTGGGGACCGGTGTAGGCACTTTTTCGGTCCTAACAAGAGTGGTGGGGTAGTAGACGGGTGTCTCCAAGCAAGACCAGCACGTCACAGTGTCCGGCGGCGGCGGCGGCGGTGGCGGCGTCGCGCATGGACAAGGTTCAGGACACGGTGTTGGACAGGGTGGTGACGGAGAGTATACAGGAGGTGGTGGAGAGTACACCGGTGGCGAGTACTCAGGCGGTGGCGAGTACACGGGAGGCGGCGAAGAGTAAATAGGAGGAGGCAAAGAATATTCTGGAGGTGGTGAAGAATACACTGGAGGTTGCGGTGTCTGGTTCGGCACCCAGAAGTGTTGCTCCTGCTTCGTCTCACAACTTATGCAGATTGAAGCTGAGAATTCAATCGAAGCACAGACTCCCTCTTCCTCGGTGGTCTTGTATGTGGCGGGCCCGGCCTGAGCTTGCATTGTCGGAGGCTCGCAAGTGTCGCACTCGGGGGTACCCTTATATATGCCAGTGCTGGCAATGACCTGAGTGATTTCGCAACTTATACAGAGTTTGGCATAGTAGTACTCAGAGCCACTAGGCTGCCAATAGTTTATCTCGTTCTGCTCGAATCGCTGCTGGATTTGGTACGGGATGTTGTCCCAAATGTCCGTGAAAGGCGGGAAAGACCTGGCAGCAAGAACATTGCGACGAACAGGGCGATCACGCCTCTGGCTACCACGCTTTCTAGCGCCGTTCGTCGCGCAGGGGCCAGTGAGTTGGCCCGAAAAACTCCAAGTGCATGGAGGAGCCTGAGTCTTTGACGACGTGCCGGTTGTGGTTGGGGGCTCAGAGTCAAGGGTCCCCGTAACAGTAGCCTCAATATCTGAAGAAGACCTTAGAGATACCTCGGACCCAGGAGACACGAAGGAGTTGGGGGGACCGGAATCACTGGAAGATAGAGTGCGGGTAATAGTCTCGGTCTCGAGACCCGTTCTCGTAGTCGTCATAGTGAATGTTCTCGTTGATGCAGGCTGGTCAGAACCCGCATCGGTGCTGCTGGCGAAAGAGCTGATGGAGCCCGGATCGACTTCGCTGGTGCTGACGGGGGCCGAAATCGCGGGATCGGAATCTGAAGTTGGTTGCGTAGAATCTGAGGAAACAGGATCCGACGACGAAGCATCAGGGTCCGACGACGAAGTAGAAGGGTCCGACGATGAAGCCGCAGGGTCTAACGAAGATGAAGTCGGTGGTGCAGTATCCGAAGCATCAGGGTCCGACGATGAAGCAGCAGGGTCTGACGACGAAGATGAAGTTGGTTCACTCGATTCCGAAGCAGCAGGGTCTAACGACGAAGATGAAGTTGGTTCACTCGATTCCGAAGCAGCGGGTACCGACGTTGAAGAAGCCGGTGGCGAAGAATCCGAAGTAGTGGGAGCTGAAGATGAATCTGATTGACTTGGATCCGAAGTATCTGGAGCCGACGACGACGACGACGACGAAGAGGAGGTCGAAGTAGGGTCCTCATCTGTTTCATCTTGCCTGGCTTTGAGCCTGCGCGAGCCAGCACTTGCATGGTCAACGATGGCGCTCCAGACGATGGTGTCATTGTTCGATTTGGTGATGTTATCTTTCAAGTAGCAGATTTGGCTCTTCTGCCCATACGAGATGGCTTTGCAAGGAACTTCTTCGGAACATTTTTCGAGGCACGTCTCGAATGAGTCGACCACGGAGGACCGGTAGTCTCCGCCAAAGTGATTGACTGAGCATTCGATCGTGAACTCGATGCCATTTGTCGTCTTATAAGATGTGTTGTCGTCAGATGGACACTGAATAGGGTCCTCCTGGAGAGATATTAGTTTCTCTTGGTTGACCCAGCGTGTCATTGCATACCTGCGCGAGGTTTGTTATAGCAACAGCCGGGTGAGCCCTCGCTGGTAAATACGAGTGCCATTAGTTCAATATTTAAGTGCGGTCTTGGGAAGCACATACCTGGGCGCGGCGCAGCCCACGCCAACTGTCCGATGGACAGGAGCGGCAGGCCAATGAGCCCTGCCCTGACCATCGCTGCTTCGTGCATAGCAGCAGATGCAGAAATTTACGAGTCTGTGTTACGAGTAGCCCGAAACAGATCAAACGAATGAAAAATGGGTGCGTAATGGTCGGAAAGAAGAAGGGACGGCCTTTTGTGCTGCGATATACCTTCCCCAACATCTTATGAGTTGGTACACTAGATCTTCCCGGTGTGATCTCTCCTGTATATGCTACTCCGAGATAGGACAGTGAAGGTGTCATCTTGAGTCCTTTTTTAGTTACAAGTGCGTGGAAATCGAGCAGGGAGGGTTGAATTTGTGGTTAGATTAAGGGGAAAGGGCGCCGGTTTGTGTGGCGGAAAAAGAAGTACGGACATGTGCAGATAGTCAAGCCCTCTTTGAATGAGGTTGGAAAAAACAAAAGAACAAGACTGAATGAGGAAGACTTGACCTTGATATTGACCGTAGGAGGAGTACTTCTGCGTAACCCCACAAATCGACCGCAGGAGCATCACAACCCGACAGGCCTCAGCTGCCACAAGGAATGCTTCGCGCAGACTTCAAACTCCAAATGATCCGCCGTTAGGAAGTTCAGTTCGCAGCCATGGTTTACGGGACGGGCCGCGCTGGTCGGGAGCAACCGGTCCAGATGGGTTCCGTCGTTGAAGGCAAGCAATGCCGATTAGGTTCAGTAGAGGGCCGATCAGTCCACTTACTCCTCCTTTCCAATGTCCTCACAAAGCAAGGGGAATTGGCAGGATCATGGGCTGTTAGCCGCGGTAAAGGAGCCATTGAGGCTGAAAAAGGGACGGTAAAAATGGTACTCGGACAGACTAGACACCATTCTCTGCACGACGAAAGCCTCACACGCAAATCTGTATCAAGGATGAGGCCGTCGATATATGTGTTTGCACGGGTTCTCATGGGTCCAGGTTTGCGCGCAACGTCTGGATGCACCCGAAGAATTGCCGTTCAACCGGAAAAATTAGTATATCAAGTTGTTCGAAGCACTATACCTGACCTGACCATAGCCTGTTGAGCGAATTAGCAGTAACGTACATCATTCTTGGATCAAAAGACCACGGGTGAATCGGATCCACGTTCGCCTCAGATGTCACATGTCACTCACTACGTGATGGTGCACTTGAGCAAGCCTCCAATTGCCGACTAAGGGGAATATCTATCCATCATGCATTGCCGGAATTCCGTATTCTCTAATGATCGGTTCGACCGAATGAACCGGATGGACACGGCCGCCACGGCTTCAAGGCGATGTCGCAGCAGGAAGTGCCAGGCGACCGGACTGAAGGGTTTTCGCTTCCATCAAAATTCCTCCCAACGTCATCATGCCGTTTTATCGACTGCGAACGGGCTGTGCATTTAAGCCTCGCCAAGGTGCTGCTTGATGGCAGCCTCGAGAGCCTTGGGGTTGGCGCCGACGACCTCACCGACCTTCTCACCGCCCTTGAAGAGCAGGAAGGTGGGCATGGCGCGGATGCCGAGCTCCTGGGCGACGTCGGGGACCTCGTCGACGTCGAGCTTGTAGAACTTGGCGTTGGGGTAGTTCTCGGAGAACCTGCGAGAGTCGTGTCTCAGCACACGAGATGGCATCGATAAAGGAAGGGAGTGCTTACTTGACGACCTGGGGCGCGATGACCTTGCAAGGACCGCACCACGTCGCGAAGCAGTCGAGGACGACGAGCTCGGGCTCCTTCAGGGCCGAGTCCCAGTCAGACTTGCTATTACACAAAATCCATCAGCATCTGCGCGGCATTGGACCGAAGGTGGGGGCCGGGCTCACGTAGCGAGGTTGTGGACAGGCATTTTGGTTGCGGGGGTTTGGGAGAAGAGTCTCGACGGTTGGATGCGGACGAAGGACGGCGTAGGGCGCGATACTGGGGCACGCAAACGCGGTGCGGCGGTAAGCAAAGATCTTCTCAGAGTTGCGGCGCTGAAAGACATGTGGAAGACGAGGGCGACGGCGTAGTTAAATAGACGGTGACGTATGTGCACAAAGAAAACGGATGATAAATTCGCGTTTTGGAAGATGCTGGACGGGTGGAATGCGGATTGTTCAGCGGAGGTCGAGGGCCGAGGGCGAGGCGTGAAATTTCGCCGCCGCGGCCGGGCAGTGAGGGGCAGCGCGGGCAGCGGGCGAGGGGCAGGCAGGCGCACGCAGCGGGCCGGCGCAGCGCGGCAGGGCACAAAGGGAAGGGGAGGCGGCACTCACAGTCTGCTCTCTGAGGGGTGAAGTTCGGGGATGGAGCGTGTCGCGAGTGTTGACGGTGGTGATGGGCAATGCTCGGGCGCAGTGTATTTCAAAGCCGCCGACCAGCCAGACCGACGACCGCCCCTCACTAATGACGTGATCCGAGAGCCCGCTGTCTTCTTCCGGTGCTGCTGATGGCAACCCTTTACCCCATCCTCCCTCTCGAGCGTCACCCCAATGCGTCCGCCTGCCTATCGCACGCCCCGCCTGCAGCTGCGCTGCGCGCTAGCCGCAGACGCAAGGTCTCAGCTGCCAGCCTGTGGTTGTACAGCCGTGAAGCTGATCTTCAAGTTCCGACGACGGCGTGCCGACCACGTGTGATTAGCAAGCATTCCAACAACATACCGACATCGCCGTGTGCCAGGACCGACTTTCCTGGAAAATCGCCTGGGGGGCATCTCGCGCGGCGAATGCATTGTCGCTGATTAGCCGACACCTAAGCCCGCCGGCCGTTTCCACGCCTTCTCGGTCGCCGGCGCCGCATACATACCGATTCAGCACAGAAATAGGTACACACCACGCTAACGATTGAATCTAGCCCTCCGTTAGAGTTGTGTCGTCGTCATTCGAACGGCCATTCTTTTTTTGAAGTCGTCTATCTGAAGCATACCAGAGCGTTTCACCCCTCACTATAAAACCGTCGGTTGAAGCCAGTAGACCCCCGGGCCAGCGTCATCGCCCCACCATGGCTGCCTTACCATACGTTTTAGACGGGGACCCCGGCCGCTGTTGTAGATCGCATTTCTTACGGCCTCCAGGTCGCACATCTTACGAAATCCGCACTATATTCAAAGTAAGCCACCTCGCTTGAAGTAGTAAATGGTGTCAGATCAACGTCATTGTGCGCCGGGATAGCTCCATGTCTATTCTTGTGCGTGGAAAATGCATTCAGCCGTAGCATTTTTCGTCCAACGAAAAAAAACTAGACAAAAGAGGAACGCGGGGTGAAAGGTACTACGACTACTACTACTACAGATTTTGTGCGACACTATTCGCAACAGAGGTATCCTCAAGCAAAGCCAAAACATCAAAAGACCACAATCCTTTCCCGCCCAGCTAAGCCTTCCCGCTGTATGAACTCCTTCCAAAGTGCCTAAAAAAAGGTACAACCGCCGATCAGCCTGTCGCGGAGGAAAAAGCAAAAACGAAAAAAGAAAATTCCAAAACGCTGGAGCTCCTTTGCCGTCTATAACCCGCTAATAGCAGAGCAACAGCATTATGATACCTCTACTCCAACCAGTCCAAACGACGCGGTCATGACAAAGGAGAAGCGCTTTCGTGCCAACGAATGAAGTGTTGAACGGCCAGCCAGCAGCAGCGGGCATGCAGTATGCACAATCGCTTGCTCGCTCAGAGACCGGCTAAGAGTGATGACAGAGCCGCTCAGGAAAAAAAAAATTGCTCCAGATTCCCCCGCTGAAACGTCGAAAAAAAAAACACAGTAAATGAAACAAAACATGATAGTTGCAAATCGAAATAGCCGCCGCGGAATGTGCCAAAAGACAAAGAGATACGCCAACAGTGCAGCGGAGAGATGCCCAGAGCTTACACAACCGTCACATGCCATATCCTCGCCCAGTCGAGACAAATAGAAGTAGTGTAGGTGTCGATGATGGATAGCTCGCCAGAAAGCGGGTGTTGGAGAGGAACCAGACGGGACCTTTTTTTTTTCGATGAGTTAGATCTGGTGATGAGAGTATTGAGCCATCAGGCGCAATAAAAAGGAAATGTTGAATGAGTGTCTCGGGTCAGTCTTAGGAATAGTAGCCAAAAGCAGCCAAAACGAGATAAGGAAATGGGAAACGAGCGACATGTCTGGTTTCACCAACTCCCAACCTCAAGGCGGTTGAACCAACTTATGGACACTACCTACGACTGTAGGTCTTACGACTGGGGGTCGGGGGAGGCTTGCGAGGTTGCACTCGCCCTGTTTGCATCAATGGAACTCCGGCTGGACCTGATGTCCAAGAGCTTCGCGCTGCTGCCGCTGAATTGCCGCGCATGCCCCTTGGACAAGTTGATACTCGAAGCCCGGTGCACCGTGACCTCGGGACTATCCTCGAGGGCTGTTGGGCTGTCTGTCTTGTCTTCAACGGGCGTTGCAGGAATGACACCTTCCATCGCTTCACCGCCGGCCGAAGCATCTTGTGCTTCATCGGGGAAGAAGCTAAGAAGACCCTCCTGAGACTTGGCACGCGCCTGGCGGTGAACAACGGTGGGTTTCCTGACAATCGAGTTGTGCACGACTGTCTCCTCGGGGGTGGGCTGGTCATCCTCGTCTTCGTCGTCTTCGGCGCCGGCATCGGTATTGTTTGCGAGAGCGACACTGCTCGCCTTGCGCTGCATCTCATGGTTGGGTACATTCCACGATTCCTCAGGGCCGGGCGTCAGTCTACGGAAGTACTCGTCATCGGGGATGCCGAGCTCCTCGTAGGAAGCATTCCAGTCTTCCCGCGGTCTCCTGAAAGACGAGCCATAGCTGCTGCGCATGGCCCTAGAGCCGCGCTTGACGGGTCTACCGGAGAACCACGAACCTTCCGAATCGACCGAGGCGAGAGAGCCAGACATGAGCGCCGAAGTCCTGCCAGCAGGGCTGACAGGAGAGTCTGTTCGGAGCTTGGTGGCACCATCCTCCGTTGACTTGGGTTCTTCGAGCTCATGTGTATCTGGAGTCTCAGAAAGGCCTCTGCGGGCAGAGAGTGCTTTGGCGGAAACAACTTCTGGGGACTGCACCCTCGAATCAGGCGGCGACAGTGGCATCCTCTCGGGAAGATCTTCGCGGAATTTCGACATGGTGCGGACCGGAGTGCCGGATGCTTTACGGACGGGTTGCTGCACAAGATGGGCAGGCAGCGCATGACGGCCCATGGATTCTCTGGACGTGTTGGAGAAGGAGATGTCGGACGGCGCAGTGACATTAGTGGTTTGATCAACTGACCGTCTCTTCAGCAGGGCTGAAGGGCGGCGTTTGAAAGTCGACCACCAACCACCGCGTTTGCTGACGTCGGAACTTCTTCTACGGCTGAGCGAGGAATTCCGACTAATGGTAGACGGCTGGATGGCGGATGGAGTAACCTCCTGAGTCAGCTCAGGAAGGTCGGACACGTTCGAAGGGCCTCGTGCGTGTTGGTGAACAGGCGAGGTTGGGGGGGACAGATTCTGGGAGGCTTGCGAGTAACGAACAGCCTGAGCGGTAGCTACGACGGGATCATCGACCGGTGTCTTAACAGGCGATGATGTCGTCTCGGCAGGCGTTGGCGGCGGTCTTGTGGGTGTGGTAATGATTCTCGGGGCGTGGCCGTCCTGGGCCACTTCCGCAGCAGGAGCCCTGTCCTCAATTCCAAGCCCCATTGCCGCGTCGAGCTCAGCATCAGCCCTCGCGGCGGCTGCCTGCTCTCTGCTGGCCTCCTTCTGGCGCTGTTTCTCTGCTCTCTTCTCAAGTTTCCGGCGGAGGCGTTCTTCATCTGCTTTCCTTTTCCGTTCTTTTCTTCTCTGATCCCTTTCCATCAGTTCTCTTAATGTGCCGGCATCCATGTCATCCGCCAGATCGTCGATAGTTTTGCTCTCTTTGAGTGCTTCCTTGCTGATCCTCCGACGTTGCGAATTGGACCGGGATACGTCGGCGCGTTCTTGGGCATGGTGCTGCCAATTATAGATGGGCGGACTACTCGAATAACGGATGGTGGGTCTGGGGGCGAAGACGTCAAGCGCGCTGACCCTGTAAGAGGTTGACAGCATTTCCGAGCTACCCGTCATAGACGACTGAATTGAGTCGGCCATGGGCAGGGAGACATCGGACGTGGGCCGGTTATCGAAATGTCTGCTAAAGCCTCTGCGAACCTTTTTGCTGTCACGGCGCATGGTGCTGCCGGACTGAGGCGCCGGCCGCTTGATGGCAATGGGAGCACTCATGGCTCTGATCTCCTCCTCGCGGACTTGGTCGTCCTTGCGTTTCTTGGTTGACTTTCTCCTCGGTGGACCGTCTTTGGAGGGGCGTTTTTGAAGCTTAGATCGGTGACTGCCCGAAGGCTGTAAGCTTGTGTGTGGGCCGGCTTGGCTGTGGGCATTGGGTTGGAAGTTGTAGGGTATATCGGAGTCGTTGCGCAGGGCCGGGCGGAGGTGAGGGCTGGTACGCAGGGCATGGGTAACGGGCAGCGCGGTTATGTCGTCGCGGCTGCTCGAGGCCATTGGGTGATGCTCAGCATTCGACAGCGCAGCAGTTGGCCTCTCCTTATCCCGCGGCCGTGACGCACTGCCACTGTCAGCGGAAGCCCTCCTTTTGTTTCGTCGCCTGGATCTCCGGCTTGGGCGTCGCGCAGGGTCATGGGGGTCCGTTGTCAGTGGGCCAGGCCTGTATGGGCTTACAGGCCTCTTCCCTTCAGGCACAGAGCCGTCAGGGTTAGGCCTGGACCGGCGCGCCTTCCGCCTGCCGAAGGGCCAGACGGGCATGGAGACGGTCGCTGGCGGCGCGGCGATCCCGGGGTGAGAGAGGGTCGAAGCATGCGCGGGCGTTAGGCGTCAAGGCGAGCGAAGGTGTATGTCTAGCAGGGGAGCGCGGTGGGCGGAAATTGGCAGTTGGCGGAGTGGCGCGCTCTAGGTCATGGCGCGCGGAGGCGGTTCATGTGACGGCGGCGCACGCGCAAGCTGAGAGGGCAGAGAGAGGATAGTGTAGGCGAGAACGAGCGTGGAGGTTGCGTATGTGGCGACAGTGGATTTGTAGGAAGAGTGCTATGGGGGAGCACGCATGGTTGAGACGTCGCAAAGCAAGGGCGCGGCGACAGGCGAAAAACAGTCACACTGCAAGGGCAAAAGCAAGAAGAACGGCGGCAGACGAGTCGGCGCTGGCCAGGCTGCGCGCTGCGCTCCAGAGGCAGAGAGAGCTATGATCGCTGCCGTGGCGCCCCAGCGCGCGGCCCCACGCCCAAACGACAGAGGCTGCTGCGCGCTGCAAAGCCCGGCCAGCCTCTGCTGACAGCGGCGCTCTGCCATTGGCGGCGCTGGCGCATGGTGGGCGGCGGCCTGGCAGCCTGGTACACCGGACGAGGTGGAACTGCGCTGCGCTAGGTGTATCCGGGCCAGGGAAGCTCCGCGTGCGCCTGCTGCCCCGTCCACGCCCGCCGCCGTTGCAGGCGCATTGTCGCGGCGGCGATCGCGAGCCCGCCGCCTTCGCGTGCGCCTGCCAGCCGCGCCCTCGTACCCGGCCCTGTGGTGGCGCGCGGCTTGGAGGCATGCGGCTTGCTTCTGCGCACGCGGGCGCAGATACGACGGAGCCCAGCGTCTCGTGCCCGCCGCCCTCGCGCGCGCTCGAATGCCGTGCCCTCAGGTGGCGAGCAGGCGCCGTGCCTGAGCAGTCTCGTGCTGTGCGACTTGGATCCTTGTCGTAATACAGCCAGGAACCACTCTGCATGCCTGCTGCCAATCAGAGCCAGCCCGTGGCCCGGTCCGCCCAGAAAGGAGCAGCAAATCTTGTCGCGGCCCCACTGCTGGACGGCAGACACTCCAGCCCTCAGGCGTCCCTGAACGCGTGCACCGATACCCCTGGATCGCGGGCTTTTTGGAGGCTGGGCACGGGATCGCGCAGGCGGGCCGACGACTCCATGCGCCGTTGCGGCCAGGCGTTTCGCGCGTTCCTGCTGCCCGCAGTCGCAGCGGCCCAGCGCATGCGGAGAGCGCACAGAGGAGCATGCGAAGAATCCCCAATCCTCTCTCAGCCCAGGGTCCTCGAGTGACGAAATGCGCGCCAGGGCCACCGCCCGTGGGGCCACAGCCTGGCCCGCCCAGCGCGCTTGTAACGGCCGGTATTGAAGGCGCGGTCGCGACCGTTGGCGAGGCGGCGCCGGTGACAGCACGTCACGGCGGAACGAGGGTGCCCATACTACATGACCTGTCCTTGCGCTGCAAGACCGCTCGATTCTGGCACTGCTCCGGCACTGCAGCCCGAGCTTTCTGGACCCTCGTGCGGAGAAAACCTGCAGCCCACTGCCACTCGGCTGTGACTCGCCCGATCTCAGAATCACGACGAAGGACAGGCTGGCGGTGCAGCGCTGGCCACGCACGCGTAGCCAGTGACGCGCGCAGACAACCCTCAACACATACACCGCCAATGTGACACCGCTCGGCAGCTTCCCGTCGCAGCAATCTTCCGTCCGCGCAGCGCTGTGGAAATCGCAGTGCTGGCTGCCACGAAGAAGCAAATCGCGCCCACATCGAGACTGCAATTAAACTCTGCTCCTCCCTGCCGCCAAGGACCAACGCTCGGAAATGCACGCAAGTCACCGGTTGGGCTGCAGGCTGTTCCAGCGGGAAACTTGGACTCGGCCTGACTCTCGTCGACAGAAAATCATCGGATTGCCCCGACGGGAAATGATGGGCCCCGGCAGTTGGCGTGCCAGTTTTCGAGCAGCCGCGTATACGGCATGTCGCGCTGGTCTGTTCCAACGCTGCAGATTGCCAATGGACCAGAATGTTCGCCGATTGCGTGCATGCGCCTCAGTGGGCTGGGCGAGACGGCACCGTCGGGCGCGGTTAGATGGGCCGGTCCTCGGACTCCCGACGGGACGGAGTCGAAAAATCACGTGATGATCGTTGTCCGGCCGCCGGCGCCAGGACCGACCGTCGGTTTAGGCGAAAAGTAAACAACAGCACGGTCGAGCCCCAACAACGCAACTCACCCAAGCTCGCGCAGATATACGCCCGCCCGCTTTGCTCAAGCTATCTCCACCGTGATTCTGCCCTGGATATGGATTTCAACCCGCGCATGAGCATGGCGCGCGGCTCCACCATGAACAACCATCGCGGCCGCCAACAAGAGGAAGACTCCTTCATGACTTTGGTATTGCGCAGACTCCAATTGCACTACGCTGCGCACCTGGCTGACAGCGCTTTCTAGCCTGACCGTGAAATCGCGTCATGCATCAGCGACATTGGCATCAACTTCAGCATTGCCGACCTCCAGAAGCCCAACCCCCAGCAGATCCAGAAGGTCTTCGAATGGTTCGCAGAGCTGCTCATGAACACGACCCGCGAGGTCGTCGCGCCGGCAATGAAGGCCGCCGCAGACGACATGGCGGGCGAGGATCTCGCTGACCGGATATTCACCCCGGACACTCGCGACCTGATGGGCTTCTTTGTCATTATGAGAAAGCTGTTGATGGAAGTAAGCAAGCTGGGCACTGCGGCTCGATCCAGGTCGTTCTAACTGCTCCCAGTGCGGCATCCATGACTTCACGTTCCAAGACCTGTACAAGCCAACGCGCGAACGCCTGGTCAAAATCTTCTCCTACATCATCAACTTCATTCGCTTCCGCGAGTCGCAAACAACCGTCATTGACGAGCATTTCAACAAGTCGGAACGCACGAAGCTCCGCATCGAGCAACTTTACAATGAAAACCAGGATAAGGAGAACCATCTGCAGGAGCTAGAAAGGAGCCGTAAAACAACGGAGACGCAGATGGCTGCCAAGGAAAAGAGGCAAAAGGAGCTCAAGCAACGCCTGCTTGACCTGAAGATGGGCCAAGAGAAGGTTGTCGAGAGACTTGAGATGGTCAAGGAAGAGCAGCGGCGGCTGAAGGAACTTTTGGAAAACAAGACGGAGCAGACGATGAACGTGCGCCAAGATGCTGCCAAGCTGCGGCCGTACACGACTCAGAGCCCAGCCGTGCTAGAAGCATCGCTCAAGGACCTCAATACGAACTTGGCTGCCGACAGGGCTGCGATCGACGCGCTTGATCGTCGTGGTCGCGCCCTGCAGACCTCCACAGAGACTTTCACGGCCGTCGCGAAAGATGTCGACGACTGCACGCGCCTCTTAGGAGACCTGGCGCAGGACATCAAACAAGAGCAGGAAGAGCTGGCCAAAGCCGACCGACACAGGCAGGCGCTCAGCGAACGTTCAAACAACGTTCGGGATGTTGAGCGTCAAGAGAAGCTGCTCACGAAGCAGCTGGCCAATGTTAACGCGCGCACCGAGAAGCTGCGCAAGAATGCGGACGATAAGGCGGAAGCTGCCCGTGTGCGCATGGAGGAGCTGAAGGCGGTGCACAAGAAGCTAGCCGAGGAGCGCGGAGAAAAGAGTCGCGAGATGGAGAGGAGAAGGGTCAGAATCGAACAGACGGAAAAGAAGGTAAGCTAACATCGCATATCTCATTTACGCACATGATGAACTAACAGCAGCTCCTTCTAGATGACCGATCTCAAGGAGAACATTGAGAACGAGGTAAACATCACTCGAGAGCAGTACATGCAACTGGAGTCGCACATTAAGCTTTACATCACCGAGATGGACCAAAGCATCAGCTGTTGACCGGCATTCTTACTATTCGACGTCTTGTCAAGTCCGCATCGGTCATGATTCACGATGTCGGATTTCTTGTTGATTCTTAATGTGAACGGGCTTGGTCAGTGGGTCGGTTTGGCGTTTATTTGAGAGCTGGGATGATGATACCACTGGGTTGAACTTGGAAACGGCCTGGTCCTTCTTTGCAACTGGAACACTTTTTACCTTGCTGTCGCAATGAACTATAATTTTGTCCATCCATTTTTCAACGTTCTACGTAAGATGTATTGCACTGTTTCCGTGAGTAACCGAATTACACGCCAAGCTGTTGTGCAATTCCCCAGCCTATGTACATTCACGTCCCGAAGTCCAACCCCACTGCCTGTGGAACGCGACTATGCTTTTTGCAACCTGCCGTGTCATATACCAATCGGGACAAAGATGAGAAATGATTTGCTACGCTATTGGACCCGCCAGCATGTAACCGAACACCACTGCGCTCTTCGTCCGTTCTCCAGCATTCTCCACTAGCGTCCTTGACCCTCCATTCCATGAAAGCCTAGATCCCGGTGCAACCCAGCAGAATGAGGGCTGGGAGCAATGCTGTAACTCTAACCCGGCACGAGGCCTGCACGTTCCTCAGACATGCTAGTCATACTTGCGGTTACTTAGCAATGTGATACCGCTACCAATGGCCGGTTTGGGCTTGCGCCATCGTCTGCTGGTCGTGAACAACAAAGTCGTAGCTCGTAGGGTCAATTGAGGAACTAGAGCAGCGCGACAGCGATGTGAATTACGTAGATACATACAACCGTCTCGATCGACAGAGAGAACTAGTAATGACTAGCGGAAAGGCGGCGCAGCGGAGGGGGAGACGAGCGGCGCCGGGGCAATCTTGAGTCTTGAACACACGTGAACCCCGACGTGACTTTCTGCTCCACAACATCCCCGTGCGACTAGCTTCCGATTGGTGGTCCTGTCAGCTCCAATCTGCCTTCCTGAGCGCCAGAGCTATAAAGCAGGGAAAAATGAAGAGGGAAAACGGGGAGTTAAAAAGACCATAGACCAGATAATAGCTGAATAATAAAGTCCCTCCGGTGCCACTTGCTCTTTGGAAAGAGGTCTGATAGAGATCTTGCCGCCGCGTACTACGCACATTCTTATCCCAACACGTTTGACCAACAACGCCCCAGACCTAGTACTCAAAAAAGAAGAAGCGGCAAATCGGAAAATCGGGTCGACCCGATGAAGTCTGTCTTGTGGTATCAAGTGATCGCAACGATGTCGTTCTGGCACAACATCTCAGTATTTCCGGCCAGCCTGGCTCGTGACGTCTCAAGGCGCACACAAGAAGACTACAGCAGGCTCTGGAAAAAGGGAATCATCGCACTATAACCTCGTCAGTTGAAGGTCCTCTTGGGGAATTGCGAGAAGGAAAGACAAACCCAATGGCCAACGTTGCGCTTAGTCCCATAAACGCCTTTGATCTGACCCTTTCCTTGCGCAGTTCCTCTTCCAGCACCTTTGTTTTCTTGACAGGCTGCACCTCCATGGTAGTCTCATCAGCATCCATGTCTTCAGGCGACAGGTCCTCGGCCTTGCGCTTCTGTACGTTCCTGCTGCCCTCGGCCTTGTTGGCCTCCTCAACCATCTTGCGTGCGTTTGCGATCATTTCCTCAGGGCTCTCGGGAAGCGGCAGGTCCGGATGATCGGCCGGCACGTCGATCTTGACGGCGGTCGTTGTAGTTTCAACCTCGCCCTCCTTCGTCACTATCTCATCCACCTCGACGCGAACCTTTTCGACACTAGCGGCAGCTCCCTCGCCATTCACAGACTCTGTCGGCTCCGAGGGTGCAGGGGTGGACTCGAGCTCCTTGGACAGCGCACTAGGCGTCGCATCGCGGGCTTCCCTCGCGCTCTTCCTTGTAGTGCGCGGCTTGCGGGGAGAAGCAATCTTGCGCGGGGTCGATTTGCTGGGTGATGCGGAGCGCAACTCCCTGCCGCGCGTGCGCACGGTGGTCGCCGATGCCGGAGGGAAGAGCGTGTTCTTGTCCGGAACGATGAACTTGGGCGGAGTAGAAATCTCGTGCGAGCCCTTGTCCTTGGTGCCCTTCTCAATGGGCGCAGGGTCCACAAGCGCCACCACCCAGGCCTTCATGCCATACTCATCCGCAAGGGAGAGCGCTGTCCAATCCTGTCAGCCGCTGTGCCCAGAACACCTAGCGTAACGAAGAACATACCGTCTTCGGGAGAGATCCAGACGTTGCCAGCCACTTCCTCGTCCCCCGCGGTTGGCAGCGACTTGTGGTGAGTGCGCTCCGTCTCCTCCTCTGCAAGGGAGGCCCACGGGAACGCAGCCTTGAACATGCCCGTCGCGCTGATGTAGCCATCATTGCTGCGGCGCTGCGCATTTCCGTCAGCGTGCGCCCATCAGCCATGCGTCCCAGGGATCCTTACCATCAGAAAGTATGACTCCGGGTAAGCCTGGTTCTTCTGCAAATTGAAGATGCCGGAGCCCTTGAGGTCCTTGGGCAGCGGGACGCGCAAGTGGGCATAGTCGAACAGGCCGAGATTCTCGGCCTTGGTTGCATTGGAGACTCCGATCTGGCCGGGCTTGACATGCAGGTTGGTCTGTCCCAGGCGGCGGCGCTCGATGAGGATCTCGACTGGGCGCGGGAGTTAGTGCAGCTCACACAGAGGGCGACGACTGGCGCATTGGCGCGCGGGCTGCACGTACGCGGCGGAGTGTGCTCGGGCAAGATGAGCGGGTTGCGCGCTTCGGGGAGGGAGCGTGGGGAGGCCATGGGGATGCTCGGTCAGAGGGTGGTTGAGCTCGCCGCAGGTTGTGTCCGGAGGAGAGTGGAGAGCGACAACGGGGGTGGTCAGCGCGGGGGAGCGGCTGTGCGAATGCGGGCGAAGAATGCGATGCAGATGGTGCTGAGGGGGAGAACGACGCGAACGCGAAATGACCAGAGTTGCGGTCGCGACACAGAGGGCGAGCTTTGATGCTCCGCAGTGCGGCCGCCCCTGCTCTCCCACACCGTGACTTGCACAAAAGGGGAACGAGCCGAGCCCGCGCATGCACCAGAGCTGCGCAGGGCTGGCGCCGCGATTGGACGAGCGCCGACTACACCCTCACGGCTCGCAAACAGCCTAGATTAGCGTTCTACACTTTGGTCGCTGGGACTCGTCGGCGCTGCGGGCTGGCGGCGATCACGTGGAAATGGCGCACCGGCAATGTGGTGTGCGCGCCCCTGCAGGCAGGAGAACAAAGAGCAGCGGGCGTTGTTTGGCATGGTTGGGTGTCCTCAGCGTCGCTGGCGTGCGGGATGGCTGCAGAACGGCACGTGACGCGAGGCGATTCTGGACTGCGGCGGTGAAGGCTGGCCTGGGCTTGCAGCGTGGGGCAGAACGGAGCAACTCAAAACAGAGGGGCTCTCGAGCTGGCGTTGTCGACTCTCCCCCTCAATCAAGCACAACTCCTCTTCCTCGCCCCCCATCGCACAGCACCCGCTTCTACTGCCACCATGTCCAGCGCCGAGCACCACGACGACGAGCTTGCCCCCGAGCAAACCGAGGGCTTCAAGGTCGGCGAGAAGAAGACGATCGACGAGTATCAGCAGCTGGGTGAGTAGACCTCCCCCATCCCGCCCATGTGCTTCTCCCGTGCCCGCCCGGCCCAGCAATCTGTGCGGGCCCTCCAAAGCCGCCGCCTCTGCCTCGCTGGAAGCTCCCGGATCCGCTGCTGGGAACAGCATGGCCTCTCTGGCCTGCCTGCAGATCACCCTACTTGAGCCTCGTTTTGGACCCTGGATGTTCCCGTTGCGACTACGCCCGAGGCACAGACCTGCCGCGGCCCTCGCCGCTGACCTTCTGTCGGCCATGCTTCTGCTTTGCATCCCGCCCAACTGCATTGACGCCTTTGGGTGCGGCGCGTCAAACTTGCCGTTTGGGTTAGCTCGTTTGCCCAGCCCGCCTCGATTGCCCCTGTAAGCTCCAAGCTCCTCCAAACGCTGGGCTGCAACAAGACCGGGGAGTTGAAGCTCTTGTCCGGATGCATTTGTCCAAATTTAAACTGTGCATCCACGTCCGGACAAACGCTTCTGCTCCCCTTCTGTTGTAAAAAAAAAAAAATTGTCGCGGGTCATGCCTGCCTATTGCGGCGTGCTGTTTCCTCGGCTTCACGATTCAAGCAACCAGCAACTTCTGCTTGCAGGAGCTGGGGCTGTCACTTCCTAAGAAGCCGATGCGCGCTCTACATAACTTTCTCTCTCCGCTGCCAACTTCTCTCACCAACGCATCCCGCTCGACAACATTTTTCATCCGTCGACTATTGCTACGGACGTCCTTTCATTAGCCAGAGTTGCTACCCACTCGCACTTGGAATTACGCTATGTCTTTTTCCACTCCCCTCAAGAAAAGCGGTGCTCCTTCCTCAGCGCCACCTCTGAAGACCGACATGGCCGCAACTTTGCCTTCGCACGTGCGACACACACGACCACTCTACTCTTTTCCGCGTACGTACTGGAGCCGCAACCGCAAGATCAGATGCGGAGAGGGTCACAGCCAGCGCACTCAGCCGCGCCCGTGTCTCCGCATCACCACACCCATCCAGCTGCCAAGTCAGCCGCAGCCTGAATGGTGCCCTCTGCGTGTTTTGACTCAAAAAGTCGATGACTCAGCTCTGTGGATCTTCCTGCATGTCTTGTCTGAAAATTCCAAGGTCATCGAGCCAGCCGCGGAAGAAAGGCAAGCTGTCATTGTCCATTCAGCTCACCGTTGGGCCGAGAACGGCAGTCGTATCCAGCCAGGCCAGAAACACCTCGACGGCTTGCTCTTCGTTTCTGTGGTAAGTTTACGCTCAATGGGCATACAGCACATTCATTGACTTGTTTGCCAGATTGAGCCTTCAGAAGCAGACGGAGACAGCCCGAGCAAAGAGCAGACCAGCGAGCAGCCGCCCAAAGGAGATGACTCAAACCCGGTGGAGACAGTCCCAAAAGAGAACAACTCTGATTCGAATCCGCCGGGAGATGGCTCTGGAGGCTCGGGTGGCTCTGGGGGCTCGGGTGGTGATGGCTCGGGTGATGATGGCTCAGGAGGGAAGGGTGGTGGTGAAGGATCTGGGAGCGCCTCCTCCAGGAAAAAAGACAAAAAGAAAGATGAAGGGGACAATGAAGAGGAACAGCGAGACCCACCTCACGAGAACCCTCACGAGAACCCTCACGAGAACCCTCACGAGAACCCTCACGAGAACCCT